CCTTAAGCAAGTTTTCATCATGCAGCAAATTACGTTGTAATTTAAAGTAATGAGACCTGGATCCTTGTTCAAGCGTGCATGATTCACAACATCCATAGTGCTGAGGGAAAAAAAAAGAATCCTGGATACCCAATGCCACCCCACTTGCATTTAATTCATGATCCTTGTGTTCCATCATCAAAATTTAAAAGAGACGCATGATGGACATCTCAAGGATACCCAAAAACAAGAAAGATTTTTAATAAACACATACGATTAATCATTAAAGCATAAAGTATAGAGGTCATGTTTAAGAAACCGAGTGATTTGTTATTGGTGCCTTGCCGCACCAAAACCAAGAACAAACAATTTGAAGCCAATTCAAATTTTAAGCATACATGTTGTAGATTATACCAAAATCCATGTAATTTAGGTACACCAAACCTGGTGCCATAGAAGGAGACGTGGGATTCGTACTTACACCTTCTTTTAGAAATTTGTTGAAGGAAAACCCTAGCGGGTCTCACTGGACGTGTCACTTGACGAAGCATGAATCTGTACCGACATCTCCAGTTGATTGAACCGGCGGCCATGGCAGTGTCAAAACCCTAAAACCTACAAAAGAGGGCTCGGGGTCTTCCGAAGGTAGACACTCCAATGCTTAAGTCAGTAAGAGTAATTGTAATAGTGTATGAATTGTGGTGCGTAGAACGTACCTTTAACCGTGAAGGGTTGATCCTTATTTATAGAGCTAGGTTATGGAATCCTTTCTTGGTAGAAAAGTAATTAAGAACCAACCTAGAAGCTCCCAGAGGCCGGTTGGACCTTTCACCAAACTTGGGCCGGCTTAGTCACGGGCCGTACTAATTTGGACTCGTCATATCTCATTAATTTTATTGATTTGCCTTAATAAACGATTCAATCTTTTTTAAATTTTGAAATTTGAATTTATTTGATTAAGAAAAGAAGTTTCTTCGAAGATAAAAATAAAATTTTTTAAATTTAAATTTTAATTGGTCTACTTACCATATTTATTGCAGTTAATTAATTTCGTGTATGATTTCACATCTCATTATTTTGATTGATCTTTAATTATCATATTGAAAACTTTAATTTTTAGAGCATTGATTAATTATCGTATTTACAGTTGATCCTGGATAGAGATATAATACTCCACTAATTTGATTGATCCTAATTGAATAATTATCTATTTCTTTTTTTTAATCTCCGCATTTATAATTTTAATTTGGGATAGTTTATTTTAATTATTTTATATGAAATCTGAGGACTCGTTTATAATGTCACTAATTTTTTTTCAAGGAGATATTTTATAAAATGACACATAGGATTTTTGCTGATGAGTCACTTTGAAAATTAGTTTTGATTTCTCTCTCGATTTCTCTCTTAGTATCTTACTATATTACAAACAAAAACTACACTTAAGAGAAAGTACCACCATTTGCCATGTGGCATTTCCACATCACATTTTTAAAATAAATTTTTATTTACACATTAGTTTTCTAGACTTAAAAGACAAATGCAGTCCAAATCCACCTCCACCTCCTATTTTCGCCCAAAAAAAAAATCACGGATTCATAAAAATCCCAAATCCTCATCCCATCTCCACGACAATCGACTCCCTAATCAATCCCTTCTCCACAATAAAAAAAAAAAACAAATTCCTCATCAATCATCAACTGAGAATATGTGGTGAAATATACTTCTTTTCTATTAGCATGTTCAATCTTTTCATTAGTGATAATCAACTACATCCGAATGGAATAAAATTTTGACTTCAAGAAATATTTTTTTTACCTCTCTATATAAACACAAAGGAAAAAAAGAAATTCTCATTGATCTTGCTTCGGCCATTGTGGTGATACCATTACAGGTATTAAAATTTAAATGATTTTATTTCCACAAATCATTTGTTTGGCTTTTTTTAAATTTTATTTTTCCCGTTCAAGAATAGTGTTATTACTATTATTTTTAATCGACCACCCGTTACAGCTACCGTAGCCGTTGCCAGGTAATATGATGTGATTTCTTATATGGTTAGTTAGCCTAGAATTTTTGTATGATTTTAGTTTTGTTTAGATTGAATTGATCAATTGGGTTTTTGTTACAAAGTGTGTTTTTTTAATTTCTTTTTTGTGTTTCATTCCATTAGAGCGATTTTCTTTTTTTTTTTTAATTATGGAGCCTCAGTTTTTTTTCGTATATGGTCAGTTTTGAGGTGTGTTTTTTCTTTGTTCAATTTCTTTTGATTTTGTTTCATACTCCCAGTTGACCAATTATTATTATTATTTTTTTTGGCAAATGAAGTGCGTTTTTTTTTTTTTTTGTGTTCAGGCTTTCAAGAATATACTTTTTTGGATTTGGTTTTTGAACTTTTTTGAGTTCCTCATCATATAAATAGTTCTGGTTGCTTCTTCTAACTAATTCATGGGGAAGTCTTTTATGAATTTGAGGTGGAGAGGGAAGGAATGATGTGTCTATGTTTATTTGTGTTTTTATATATTATTTTTACCTACAGGAAAAAAAAAATTTCTCAATTTTTAATGGGCTCTTTTACTTTTTTTTTATTATTTTATTTGCCATGGTGAGGTGAATTCTTTTTTGCTATAAATTAAAACCTATGCAAATTTACATTAATTTTCATTCTCATATTTGTGATCAACCTGTTTAAACAATTAACCAGTTTCAAAACCATATTTTTGATATTTTACTACCTTTAAACCTTTGGAAGAAACAGTTCCAATAATTTAGCGCATACCCTTCGGAGGAAGCTTAGTACAAAGCTATTATAAATCTCCTTTACTAAGTATTGATTTAGCACGACCAATGGAGAACATCAATAAATCATCTTGCTAATATTTAAATTTATTAAGATGCTTTTATATTTTGTTTAACATTTACTTCAAGATATATATTTGATCAAGTTTATTTATATTTAATAAGTAACACTTATAAATCATTTCTAAGATCTTCAAACATTTTTAAAACGTAATGGGCCAAATACAATTTCTTTTTTTGCCAAACACAAACATTTCTATGATCACACTTATAAAATATTTCTAAATTCTTCGAATATTTCTAAAATATATCGAGCCAAATACAAAATATTTTTTTTTCAAATAGAAATATTTCTAATATCTAGAGATATACTGGGCCAGGGTCGCGCATTGCGCGACCAGACATCACTAGTAATACTATAGATAGATAGATTCCATACTAATTTTTTTTTTCCAAATCAAATAATGAATTTGGTCTCATTTATAGGAAATTTTAAAATACTATATATATACATATATACTTAAATCTATCCAATAAATCCTACCTAAATGTGAAAAAAATTTCCGTATAAAACTCTTAAGGGGGATTGAACCCGAATTCAATCCTAGCAAAACACATCATCCTAACCACTAACCTATTATTCAATTTACATCGACAATTTCAAAATATGTTTTTAAAAAAACAAAAAAACAAAAAAGTAACAATATTTAAACAAAAGTAGTGATAAGTACAAGGAAAAATTACAATGAAAATTTACAAGAAATATGTGTCATTTATCAAAACTATTCTCTAATCTTAAATGTTCAAACCCTAAATGAAAAATTTTAAGAATGAACGGTTATAATTAATTCTTTGTCACTTTTCCTTGTCATTTTTTCGAAGTTCAAACAAACGACAAATCTTGCGAACTCCTCCTTAACATCATCTGCTGAATGGGTTGTTGGTAAAATCGACCCACCAACTCTTCGGTGCTCAAAAAAAAAGACCCACCAACTCTTAATTATTAATTTAATTCTTTTAAACTTTATTTATTATTTTCAGATACTGTAAGATCCATAAATTTCGGGTTTATGCTCTGCAAATTGCAAATGCTCCACAAACTTATCACTGTTATCAGGAATGATCATTTCAATGAAAATTAGAAAGACCAAATGTGATAAAACAGTGGAAAATCATTCTATAGTTAGTTGATCAAAATAAGTTTTGTCCTAAAAAATATATATGCACTGGATATATAGTATAATATCTATTTTATAATTTATAATTTTTTCAGTAAAACAAAAGGAATTGATAAAATATTAAGATAAAATTTTTTAGAAACTTTTTATGTAATTATAGGTCCTATCAATTTTATAAACTAATAAAATGACTTGAAACTAAAAGAAAAAAGAAAAAGAAAAGAACTTGTAAAATATGAATATAGTATTTTTATTTTTTTTTTGTTCTTGAAATTTACATTTAAAGTAATTTCATCTTTCATTTTATTCAAAAATTCTGGTGTAATTTTCTTATAATGCAAGTTACTGCCACATTACGTCATTCCTTTCTTGTGATTGGATTAAAAAAAAAACTGAATTATCATGATTTTCATCTTCACTCAAATTTTAATGACACTAACTATAATGTCCTCCAAAGATCTTATTAATTAATTATTGAATTAATACATCTGTAAATTACTAGCATTTTTTTTTTTTAGATTCTAACACTATTAATGTATAGTAATTGTTATACTATGTATTATCGTTGTTCCTGTAAAAACATAACAAATTGAATTATATAAGCTCCACTCACTAAATACATGTCCATCCTCCTATCTTATTCTTTAAACCACTAACTAAAAAATAACAATAAACTTATTAAATTTTATAACAATAAAAAAGAACACCACTAACTTAAAAATAACAATAAACTTATTAAATTTTAACAATAAAAAAGAAAAATTTCAATGTAGACGTGCATTGGTGATTATACAACTTTAGGGTGGTGTTAATGCAATTATTCACTTGTAGCAAATTAAATAGTACTATAAATTAATCATTTTAAAGAAAGGGGAAAAAAAAAGAAGAAAAGACTACCAACTTTTAACAGACGCCTCCATATTTCTAATAGCACCGAAAAAAGAAAAAACAGAGTAGTGTGTGAGTGTGTGCCCATTGAAGAGGGAGCAGCGGCGGTGTGGTTTTTTTGACTCTTTCTCGCATATTCCGGTGACTACAAAAAAAACAATGGCTACAAAGCTGTGGGCATCAAGGGCTGCTTCATATTTTAGGATCTCAGTCTTCAACAACACCAGAGGCTTTGCCACTGGTAAATAATAATATTTATGTATTTTTGTTCTGTTCGTCATACTTTTTTTGCCCATTTCTTTTGGTTGATTTTTTTGGTGAATGAATCTCATTCATGGATTGGTAATACGAATACCTGTTTGATCTGGGTCTTGGTTTGGGACAAAGATTCCATGTTTCAACGTGGGTTAATTGATAGAAGAATTTTTAATATTTTAATGGCTTTTTGTAGAGTGAAACCCGCGGATCGGGAGTATTTCCTTTTTGCTGTAATTTGGTTGTTTGTTTTTCAAGATTGAATCGCTCCTGTATGTCCCTTTGCTCTGTTGTTGCAGCTTTTTCTTCTGTTTGTTTTAACAAACTAAGTGGCAAGATCTCACCACCTTGGTGGTGTGAGTTTTTGTTTTCCATGACTAAATCACCTTTTGTTGGACCTCTCTTTGCATAAAACATTAACTCCATCTTTTTTTTTTAAAGAGGGTTAGCAAATATAATCCTCAACCTCGAGAAATGCATACATAATTCCAAATGCAAAGGTTTTAATATACAGAGTCTCTTAATGTAAAAAGCTTTTTAATACACAAGCCTCTTAATAATATACAAAAGCTTCAAGGGTAAGCATTTGTTTTCTCCCGCAGCTTTTGACTTGAACCTAGACAGTTATGAAGGGATTTCAGTTTTCCCCAGTACTAGTTTTTAGTAGATTTAAGTATGCTCAATTATACTAGAAAAACCTAAGAATTATCAGGTGGCTGATAGACTCAAGATTTACCGATATTTTAATGAATTAGTCCTTCTAGATGTTATTGGGTACTTGTCTGTTGATGATGGGATTGAGTTGAGAAATAGGGCCCTGAAATTGGAACATCCAGTCTCCATAACACACTCTTAACAGCCCGAGCTATATACTTCCCGAGTTTCCATGATGAAGTGATATACCCTTTTGGCATGTTTGAGAATATCTAGTTAAAATTAGGGCATTTTACCCCTTCTCCAAAAGGTATTTGAATATTCTTTTTGATTAATTTATCACTGGTACTGAATCAAAGCATCAACTTTTAGTTATTGCCCCTTGTAATTGCATCATCTTGAATATATGCATCAATCTTGTTGCAAATATAGTTGTGACAACTGTCAGAATTATCAACAGCTTAGGAACTGCAAAGCAGAAGTGTACTGAGTACTGAAAGAGGGAAAGCGTAGGAAAACGTTTGGACAAAAGAAAGTATTCAGCGAAGTAAAGCTTACATTCTTCTGCACGTTCTTGTATTGTGCGAGTATATCAGTTATCCACCTTTAAGCTTTCTGTTGTGTTGAAGTATAGCTGAAAATTATTACCACCGAACTTGGCAATTGAAATTGTAATAACAGCACATGTTGGCATTTAAGGAGAAATATCTGTGCATTGCAGAGTGGCTAGCTATCATTTATCACAATGATCAACGAATAATCTCAGACAATTCATTGCCTGAGTCTTCATTTCGTCGGCACACTTACAAACTCATCTAGGCTTAGATGAATCAGAGAAAAATCCCATATTGCTATCTTGATCTTATTTCCTTTTACCTTATTATCGAAATGATACTATCAAACTCTTAAAGCACACTGTCTCCAGATTCTAAAGCACACTGGGGAGAATTGAAGGAGAACCCTTCATTTGGACGTTGACAAATGGGAACCCTTATTCCCGTAAAAAGGAGCCGCAAAGAATCTTCCAAAGTGATTAACTTAGCTATTCTTAAGCCTCTGTAACGAATGAATTTTGAATTCTTTCTTCTTCATTCAGTGTATCCGGTAGCAGTTATGCTTGTTATATAAGCTACCTATTTTAGGTCCCTTTTTTGTACCTTTTGAGCTAGTTTTGGCTCGATATCTGAGGTCTGATGGTTGTTTGAAGATACATATATGGTTTCTTTCATTGTTGTCATAGATTTTAATTCATTTCCCAACTCTATGGAATTCATTGTTGTCAAAGATTTTATTTTAGGTCCCTACTTTACGGAATCTGTAACTGGCTTCTCAAGCAATTGTTTCCTCCATTCATCGTTCAAATATCAGTCTTGATGATTTCCGTATAAGAATCGATCGTGAAGATCTGAATGCCCTTTTTTCTCCTGCTGTGCAGTTGCCAAAAATTTAAAGTACGCAGACTCTCATGAATGGGTGAAAGTAGATGGCAATGTAGCTACCGTAGGCATTACTGATCATGCTCAAGATCATTTGGGTGATGTTGTGTATGTTGAATTACCTGAAGTGGGAGCTGGAGTGACACAGGGCAGCTCTTTTGGTGCGGTTGAGAGTGTCAAGGCTACAAGTGATGTGTACTCTCCTGTCTCCGGGAAAGTAGTTGAAGTTAATGAGGTGCTCAATGATTCTCCTGGCATGGTAAGTTTTTTTCGCGCAGCTGCACCCGTATTCCTTTTTTGAGTAGATATATGCAAAACCTTCAGTGTCTTGGGGGTTTATTCTGTTTGTAGTCTTAGTTGAGCTTACTGGCATCACAGTTTGAAGTGACATTTTTTAAAAACATAGTAACTGCTGACTTCATTACTGTAATGCTGGAGTGTTTCTGATTCTTTTATGCGGCCATAGTTAATCAGGTAGGCAGTGGACTTGCGAAATTTTCTTGTATAGGTTTTCTTTTAAACATTAAAGCACATCATCAGTGTCGCAAAATGTATATCAGAAGGAAATATATAGAGAGGTTTTCTCATGTGATTGTATAAGGTATAATCAAATAGTTCATATCGGCTTTTTATCGGCTTTTTACCTTTTGAGAGTGTCCTAGAATTCACTCTTAGGGTCTTGGTCACTGATGGCATGTCTGGTGCTCCCAGATTGCCTTGTGCCATTATCCTTTCTTCCGAGCTACTAAGATGCCAGTCTGGGAACTAAACCTGTCAGTCACAGCTTAGAAAATACTGCAAAGTTACATCAAAGTAGTAGTATTACACCGTTCAAGTCTAATCAGATAATGTTCATATGGTTGGGACAGTCCAGTTCATTATGTTTTATCAATAACGGAGTTGATTTTCATCTAAATGCAGATCAATGGTAGCCCCTACGAAGATGGGTGGTTAATGAAGGTTGAGGTAAGCAACAAAGATGAGCTGAATACTTTGCTGGACGCAGATCAATACACCAAGTTTTGTGAAGCAGAAGATGCAAAGCACTGAGAGGGGGGATTTTTTCGATTTTCATAAATAATCATCAGAATCTGTTGCTTTCTTTTCCTTTTTTATTTTATTTTTTGGGATGTTGTGAACATCATTTGCTAGGATAACTTTTACTCACTTGCCTTTGGTCATGCATCAAGTTTGAATATTAGTCTAGCTTTACCATTTTTCCTTTTACCTGATCATTTCATTTTTCCAATCAATTTACACATTTTCTTTTCTGGCCTCTAGAATTTCATTTTTTTCTTCTTCCTTTTTGCATCAAATAGCTGTAATTAGAATGCAATTCAATTCAAAGACCCTTGACCCTTTGACCCCATTTAGAACCTAGGTCCGTAATAGTTATTAACGTCCAATTGAAGTCAAGGAGTCAAGAAAAGAGAAAAACAAGATGCAATATTTCATGTCTACCTCTCATTTACATTTCTATATATACCCTATCATTTACTTCTAATCAACCTGGCCTTTCTCTTCACCAAATCTCCCTCCATATCTCTCTCTCAAAAGCAAGAGAGGGAGACAGAGAGAGAGAGAGAGATAATGGCCGAGTTCATCAATAATCACAGGAAAACAGGGCAAACTATAGGGGTCATCAATGGCAAAGCTTATGATGCTAGCAACGTATATGTGATTCGTTCCAGAACCAACAACAACAATGACCTTGCCAATGATCACAACCATCACCATTTTGAGAGCCCTGGTAGAACATATCAACATCAAGGCGTTTCGAAACCTGCTTCTTACAACACGCATAAGTCTTCCACATCTAAGGCGACGACGCTGTGGATGGATTATCGCCAATTCAAGAGAAAGAAGAGGATTGCAACGTACAAGTTGTATGCTTATGAAGGGAAAGTCAAGAATTCTTTCAAGAATGGCATTCGTTGGATTAAGCTGAAATGCAGGAAAATTGTTCATGGATTCTAGCTAGACATTGTTTTTGCATTGAACATGCATTCCATTGGTGAAAGAGAAAGGGAAGAGGGTTGTATTTGTAGAATAAATGCAAGGTTTGATTGTTTATTTGCATTTTTCTTTTCTTTTTTTTTTTCGTTTGCAGAATATCGTGTCTCTGAAAAACATACTTTTTCCATTTGGAAATGTATGATATCGAAGAATTTTATTTCTTCTAGAGATCAAAATCGAATGTAAAATTTAGTTTTTACCTCATTTTCTTAACATGAATAAGTAATTTAGTATAACAATTGTAAGAGGTGAATTTTGTAGAAATTCAAAAGATGGTTCATCAAATTTCAAGACCTTGTCCAATTTTTACACCTAAAAGAACAACGTGAAACTCACCGGACTCCGGATTCGTTTAGTCCATTCATACAAATTTACAAGGGGCGTAAATGAAATTTGACAAATTAAAATGGAAGAAAATTAGAAAAACGATAAAGAAAAAGGGTTGAAATTGGAAAAACCAGCAAAAGAATACCAAATCCTTAAGCCCTCCAAAAACCCCCCCGAAAAGCCAAGAACACAATTCATCAATTCCAACGAAAATTTGACAGTTCAATCACACATGCTACCATTTTTTCTACAATTCCATTGAAACTATAGATAATACACCAATACAGGGAGGAGAGAAGAGAAATGACCCTCCTGTTCCTCGCTTCGAAACTCCCCTTTTCTGTAAGTAATTCTCTTATATAGTCCTTGGCCTTTTGAATTTCCAATTTCATATAAGTACTTCTCTTATATTGGTTTCTGAATGATTTTGCGTTTATGCCGCTTCTGGGTTTTTTTTAGGGAGTAAAGGAGCAGCCAAACGCATGTGGGTTTTGGCGAACTAGTCATAAAGTCGATAACTTTAGTATGACTGTGAGTTTGGCCAAGAGCAAGAGTAGGAAGGTGTTAATTAGAGCTGGGCCGAAGAGGATATGCCATGGTAGGGAGTGTAGAGAGGCTTTGTTGAATGGAATCAATAAGCTTGCTGACGCCGTTTCTGTTACCATAGGACCCAGAGGTATGAATTTTGTTATTTTGGAGTCAATTTGCTCAGTGTAGTCACTAGAGTTCTCTTATTTGATTTTGCATATGTCTACTGGAAACAGTAATTCGTGATTTTTGTGAGTAAAGATGATGATTCTGAGTACGGGAAATGTGTTGTTTTTTTTTTTAAGTTAGTCTGTATATGTAGTTCCGTTTGAAATTCGCGTTCTAGCATTTTGAAATTTGTGCGGCTTCTGGCTTCAAGTGTTACTGGATTCTACTGATGTTGGTCGGATGATTGATTGCAAGTCATTCATTAACCTACTTACAGTATCTAAGTGAAAGAGGAAAACGTTTGAATTAATACTTGGAATTATGTTGTGATCTTTGAACTGTATATGGATTGAAGATTTTGAGGTGACTTGGTGGTTTCCACATCATGAAAGAAACAAGACATGAAATTTATACCGTTTCCTTTTTTTGTTTTCCTTTAAGGATGAACAAACTGTGTTACTTGAATCTGATTCTGCTCCTTCTATTGATTTCACCAAAATGTTTGAAGAGCAAATGATAACCCCTGTTTGCATACTGAAGAGAAAATGATAAGACTATGAAATTTTCAATTAATCCATTCCAAAGAAGTCATAGCCTAGACTCACACACAATGCTCATATGGTGATTGATATAAGAGCTGGACCACGCCATTCATGAAGCTAACTAAATAATTTAATGAGTTTATTGTGCTAAAATGATACAATATTTTTGTTTTACCTCATAATTATTTAAAGGTAACGAGTTTTGTGTGTGTTATACAGGGCGTAATGTTGTTCTCTCAGAATCTGATAAACTTAAAGTAATAAATGATGGTGTCACAATTGCTCGGGCCATTGAACTTTCTGATGCAATTGAGAATGCTGGGGCGATGCTGATCCAAGAGGTCACTCTGCTATGCATTGGATATTATTATTCTCTTAGAAAATTTTTATTTGCAGCATGCAGCCTCACCTGTTTTGTATTGTGATTAGCAAAATTTTTTAGGAAGTTTTGTCGTTACATTTTTTTACCATATTCACTGTAGGTTGCGACGAAAATGAATGATTCTGCCGGGGATGGCACAACAACTGCAATTATCTTAGCTCGTGAAATGATCCAATCTGGATTGCTAACTACTTCTTTTGGGGCTAACCCTGCATCTTTAAGGAAAGGAATGGAGATGACAGTGAAAGAATTGATCAAAATTTTGAAAGAAAAAAGCTGCCCTGTACAAGGAAGGGATGATATTCAAGGTATCTTTTCTACTAATGCTAAAGGATTCCTTAATTGTGGAGAGTATTTATTTTCTTTCTTCAACTATTGCAGCTGTTGCTTCAGTATCTGCTGGAAACGATGAATACATTGGACAAATTATTGCTGAAGCTATAGAAAAGATTGGTCCCGATGGAGTGATTTCCATTGAATCATCCCCAACATCTGAAACATCTGTTATAGTTGAAGAAGGAATGAAGGTAACTGAGAATTTAAAATCATATTCGGATGAATCATGAAAATTTAGTAATAGTGCTTCTATAACATCTTTGGGTGCAATGTAAGTTCCTTTATCTTATAGGATTAAAAATGGTTTTCTGTCTTGCCGCCTATAAAACTTTGATATCATTTTGTAGTCTATTTGGTTGCATCAAACATACGTTTTTTTGTTTTTCTACTTAATTTGGTTTTTGTAATATTTTGATTTCCTATTCAGGAATTCTTTTCCTACAGATAGACAAGGGGTACATGTCTCCGCACTTTATCACAAATGCAGATAAATCTATTGTGGAGTTTGAAAATGCTAAAGTCATGGTTACTGATCAAAAGATAACCAGTGTCAAAGAGATCGTACCTATGCTTGAAAAGGTCACCCAATTGAGTGTCCCATTGCTTATATTTGCTGAAGATATCTCAAGGGTGGTTCTGGAATTGCTAGTTGTGAATAAAAGTCAGGGGATGCTTAATGTTGCTGTTGTAAAATGCCCAGGATTTGGAGATGGGAAGAAAGCTTTGTTACAGGATATTGCGCTTATGACAGGTTATATGCTTATTTTATTATTATTGTCAAGTTCCATGGTTTACCCAGAATTTTGAATTTGAATGAAAAAATTACAAGTTTATTTTTTATTTATTTTTTTTTGGGTGAAAAACAAGATTTTTCATTATATTAAGTTTTTTAGTTCCTTGGTATTTGATGCATCATGCCTGGATTTCTTCCATCTACTTGCTTGTTATGGCCAAGAACTTCAATCCAAGCTTTCTACATTCTAGTTCCGTGAGACCAGAACTACCACCAGTTACTGCAAGGGACAATCTAGAGCTGTTGAGCCGCACTATCTGTAACAGAAATTTCAATATAGCTAAGGACTTCTTATGGTTACAGCACATTCTCACTACAATTATGCTTTTGGCTTGAAGCTCTTTCTGGCCATTACTAGCCAAGGCAAACAAGTTATTGATACCAAACAAGTTATTGATATTAAATATTATAGAATATTTCTCAAGACACATCTTGTTCTGGATCTAATGAGCAATGGCCCTGCTATTCTTTGCATATCAGTAGTAGTTCTTTTATTCACCACTATCAGTTATTGTTGATGTTACACTTTTTTTTTTTAATTGTTGATGTTACACTGTGACTTCTTACTGTTTCTTTTTTGAATACTGACAGTCCGTCATAGTTTTTCTACTTTCTCAACCCATTTAACTAATGATGCCCTACCTCAATATTCAGGTGCTGATTTTCTCTGTGGTGATTTGGGGCTCACTCTTGATGGTGCTACTTCTGATCAGCTTGGCATTGCGCGAAAAGTAACTATAACAAGCAATTCAACAACTATAATTGCTGACCCATCAACTAAGGCTGAAATACAAGCAAGAATTATGCAGATAAAGAAAGATCTTTCTGAGACAGATAGTAGATATCTTTCTCAAAAGCTGGCTGAAAGGGTAGCAAAGCTCTGTGGTGGTGTGGCTGTGATCAAGGTATGCTGAATGTTGCAACATAATCCTTATACCCTACTTGAATGGTTGGTTTTTTTTTTCCCCGTTTTCATAGATGGAAAGTAACAAATACCAAGAAACTGTGACTAACCGAGATGTTAGGTGCCAAATTTTTAACACAGACGTTGTGAGTTTGATTTACTGATCTAACGGATCATCTGCTTTTCATATTCTTTCATTCAATTAGGTACTTAACCTCTCCCTAAATATTCTTCTAACTGCATTATATGGAACATTTGAGTCTTCCCTGATTTCTGATTCAAAGCCTTTGATTGATCATGCCATTTTATGATGTGACCTTCTGTCTCTTTGTCTGCATTCCATGGTTTGTACTTCAGAACAAATTTGTCATATTGTATTGTTTGATTACAGTGAATTCACAAATGTGCTCTTTACTTATCATTTCATCATCTTGAAAATGATTTTGAATGTTGGTGCGTTATTTGTATATTTCACCAAAAGTAAGCTCGTACTTCCAAACCTTGTTCAATTTTACTCCCATTGCTTGGAGGGAAAAACTTACTCTCTGCAGCCATTAAACTAATGGATTAGTTTTGTCTTCTGTTAATGAAAAAGAAGGAAGAATTAGAAGTATTCCCATCAGAAAAATTTTGCTTTTAGGTTAGCCTGAGGGTTTTTTCTGAAGCAAATCTTTTGATATCAGGTTGGAGCTCACACTGAGCTGGAACTAGAAGATCGCAAGCTGAGAATAGAGGACGCAAAGAGTGCCACGTTTGCTGCTGTAAATGAAGGTATAGTTCCTGGTGGTGGAGCTACATTCATACATCTTTCTGAAGAAGTGCCCAAGATCAAAGAGATGTTTAATGATCGAGATGAACAGCTTGGTGCAGACATCATACGATCGGTATGGCTGAGTTTTACTCATTTCCATAGAGGATTCTTGTTTAAAAATTTTTGATGCTTGGTTCCTTGTTTCTCTGGGTTAATGAGGTTTATAGCCTCTCATAGAGCAGGAAAAAGGTCCTCTTTGGTGGTTATAACATTATTGCTTGGAAGAATATGTTGCAAAGGAAATGAAAATATATTCCATATAAAAGAGTATTCTTGTTTGTGTTTAATACTTTAGAGAATGACAGCCATATGCCACAGAATATGCATATATCGTCTGACATTTTGTGCCAAATATGACTGTCTGTGTAAAGAAACTACCAGAATTAGTTTTCGACTATTGGATTTTTCAGGCGGATTTTTTGAGCATCAATCGCCCGTTCAAAGCTATCTTCACCAGTTCAGATTTTCAGCAAAAGAAAATAATTAAAAATTAAATAAAACATTTTAGTTTACATGTTCTGCAATCAACCCTAAAGTGATATTTTTGATGAGTTTCAGGCACTGCTTGCACCTGCCAAACACATAGCAGCCAATGCAGGAGTTGATGGCACTGTAGTAGTTGAGAAAACTAGGTCATGTGATTGGAATATTGGGTTCAATGCAATGACGGGAAAATATGAGGATCTTCTTGCTGCTGGAGTGGTTGATCCTTGTCGGATTTCGAGGTGCGCGCTTCAGAATGCTGTCTCTGTTGCTGGTTTAGTCCTCAGTACCCAAGCTATAATGGTTGAGAAGACAAAGAAGGCCAAACCACTTGTACCCCAAATTCCTGGTATAACTCCTTAGTACTCAATTACTGAACCTACTCTCTATACACTGAAGGGGGGGTATAGAGTAACTGCCCTGATGCTGCAAACCATATCATTAGCTTAGTTTTGTGGCACACTAAAGCTGAAGTCAAAACCGACTATTAAGAAGAAGCAATAGAACGAAGACTAGCTACAGTTCCAAGTTACAGACCATCCGATGCATGCACGTGGACAGAAGAGTACGTTAATGTTCTAAACTCCCCTACAGAGCCCCAAGATCTGAACTTCAGACCAGGATAAAATCAGGTAAGAGTGAAATGACTAAAGAGAACTTGATTCATACCGGAAGGCCCTGAGTCCAAACTTATAGACACTGATTTAGGATAGACATTCTTGATTCGTGATGGTTAGCAATTGTCCCTACACGACTACAGCATTTAAGTCGAACTGTGCAGTCGATTTCAGATTCTTTGCCACTGACTCAGGGCATTGTTGTGGCTACCTGGATCTGATTATTGTTTTCCAGGATCAGTGTTGTTAGCAATTTTGCCCCATAATGGCAAACGAGATTCTACAGCCTCTTTATCGATTATCACCAATTAGTTTTGAGTTAGATGGCCTAACGATCGTTGTAATCGTTTTCTATGAACTGAATCACCAGGTGCCAACACAAAAGAAGCAAAACAGAAGAAAAAGACCATATGCGAATACCAATGAGAACATACTCAAGTACTACCATAATTGCCCAGCGTGCAAAGAATTTGTTTTTGGGCTTTAAAAAATGTGCAAATTGTAAAAGGCTAAAAGGAACAACAACAAATGGAAGGGAAGCATGTCTCCCTCTAAAAAGTTAAAAACAACAATTAGTATTGTAGCCGTCTTATTAGAAGCTATAAATCTTAGGGCGATAATGATTTTAGCTTATTGTAAAAGTGAAGTATGTTTCTTTCTCCATCTCCACAGCTTTTTTTGATCACACAAACTTGTAAAATACGCTCACAGTTCATCCCACTAAAAAGAAAAAGAAGAAATCTTTGCAGCAATAATAGATCGCATTTACATTTATTAGGATAATTGGTAATTCATAAACCATATATAATTGTGACGTCAATTGGTATGTAATAATAATAATAACAATAATAAGCAGTTAATCAAAAGAGAGATTAGCCATGATAATTTGTTGTTCAAATGTTGGCTTCTACTACTTGCTCGTTTTGTCTATGATCAAATTTGGACGTTTATGATATGGATACAAGTTTTACAAGAATTTCGATTTTAAAAAAATTTGTTCTCTGTTCAACATTATCAATAAATCGTTAGCGAAAACGACTATTATAATTAAATTTGTAAGCCCTAGCTACATTTCGATCGAGCTCAGCTAGCTCCTTCAACAACACAGCATTGCATTCGACAACTTGGTAGTATGATTTTTCCATACATCATTATGCTAAATTGATTGGAGAAATTATATCCAAAAATTACATAATTACAATAAGTAGGAACTTTAAGATGTAATTAACTCACGAGATCTCCATGAAATCATGTATTTTAGATTTTATTTTAAGAGCAGTATCATTGAATTCCAGCTTGCATAATTTAATTACCCGTTAATCATTTTATTTTGGATCAACATGGGACGCAACTCCCTAATGTCAATAAATATATTTTAATCAATTTTTGAGTTGAAAATATATTAGTACTCTCCAACGACCAAAGAGATAATCTCACATTAACATGTAAAAGCTAGAAATTTTCAGTGTGTTTACTACCACCGTCACAATCAAACTCAGGTGCTTTGCCAAAGGTATGCAAATGGATCTTTGTACGCAACTTCATTCTCCTTTTCTTATACAGACTTTTTCCGGTTTAAAATCATATATACTCTCTCTGTCCCAAAATTATTGTCCAGTTTAAAATTTCATTCTTAGTTCAACCAAATTGGCGTGGGGCTGGGGCCTGGCCAGTGCTTATCTTAGCCGGTAAGACCAGGCAAACAGTGGGGCTGGGGCCTGGCCAGTGCTTATCTTAGCCGGTAAGACCAGGCAAACAGACGAGCAAGGAAACCAGGCCGAAATCCAAACCACCACCCTGGCTGATACCATTCATCCGGGAGCTATGCCTTGTCAGCCAGCTACAGGATCAAAATCTCTATCCATCCTTAATTAAAATATCAATATTTTCAGTGTGTTTACTACCACCGTCACAATCAAACTCAGGTGCTTTGCCAAAGGTATGCAAATGGATCTTTGTACGCAACTTCATTCTCCTTTTCTTATACAGACTTTTTCCGGTTTAAAATCATATATACTCTCTCTGTCCCAAAATTATTGTCCAGTTTAAAATTTCATTCTTAGTTCAAATTGTACTAAAATTAAAATCTAGAACTAGACAATAATTTTAGAACAGAAGACGTACCAACCAATCACATAACAAAAATTTCACAATTATCGCAAAGAATCAACGTCCATAATATAACGACTTCACAAAATTTAGAAATTATTTCAAAGGAATAAAATAAAAATAAGGTGAACAATCACTTTGCTATGTAAATCATTCTCGGCAATTGAAATACTATGAAAAATTATGTACAATCTGAACAAATCACTTATCTGTCTTAGGTTTTCAAACTCATTAACTAACTGCTCCAACTATATGAAATGTGGAGATTTGGTAGGGAAGGTACCATTATAGGCTTTTAGCTTCGATTTTATTTGGTCTAACATATTTATTTAGTTTCATGTCACGGTCAATTCTGAAGACAAATTTGACTTTTAATAGTGTCTCAAGTCAAATGTTAGAAGGTAGATGACCAATGTAGGGAATATTTATCTGAGCAGGGGATAATATTATCAAAAGATTTTTTTTTCCTTCCTTTAACATTAGTTCCTCCCTTATGATACTCAAGCCTCAGCGTAAACTGATCTTCAAATACTCCATCCGGTCCTTAATGTAAAATATTTTGATTTGTCATAAGTTTAACCTTGTACAATTTTTTAATTAACGAAAAAACGTTAAACATATTTCTTAGCATTTAAGAGAATACGACGAATGTGAAAATAGATTTTTAAGATTTTTTCGTTAATTAAAAATGTATATTAGATTAAACTTAGAACAAATCAGAATGCCTTATATTAAGGACCGGAGGAAGTATATTATACTCGTAGTTTATTTAGTTTAGTCGAAATTTATATGCCACTCCAAAGAATACATGAGTTTCCATTATATAACTTCAACATTCTAACATTCCATAATATAGATTCTTTTCTTCAAATGGAAAGAGAAATGTGAAAATGGTAGGAGTGAATAAAAACATTCCCTAATGATTTCCTATTTGGAATTTTTAATTTTAGTAAAATTTAAAAGAAAAAATAAAAATTAAAACAAAACAATTATTTTAAGACAGAAAAAATAAATAAAAAGATCATAACTGCAAAATTTAGCCAAGTCATTTTTTTTTAAAAAAAAATACTCCCTCCGTCCTCGGGTTTGAATTTTTATTTTTGATACAAATTGAACTAAAAGTGAGAATCTAAATTGGATAATAATTTTAGGACAAAAGGGATAACTAATCACTACTACAATAAATTTGATAATTATTTTAAAAAGGAGAAAATACTGGGCAAATAATATTAAGATCCTTGTACCTAGGCAGTGCGTGAATCACACACAAGGGAAAAGAAATTGAATTTTTGAGCCCGGATAAAAGGAGTCTACACGCGCATTTAATCACCCAATTTTGTCCCCCTTTTTTGGCATTTAATCCCCTAATCTTATCCTTTTTTTTTTGGCATTTAACTCCCTGATCTTATCCATTTTTTTTTGCACTCGAATAATTTTAAATCTTTTTTTTTATTTGCTTATCATGTTAGCTTTTATATTATTTTATTTTATGAGATAATTTTTTTATAACGATGAATTTAATTTTAGTAAACTTTACTATAGTTTAATCATTGAGATTTATGAATATGGAGAATCAGTGTGTATTTTCTCAATAATGAATAACCAACGTTTAGACAATGAATAATGTTATGCAATTATTGAAAGATGAATGATGTAGAATGTATTCGTTTTATTGGTGAATATACATGCGTAAGGTAATGCGTAATATATGGTTACTGATGAACACGAATTTCATTGTTATTTTTTGACAGATGGTGTATTATCTTGTTAAGATTTTACGATGAATACCTTATTTTAAGTAATGAATAACAAGTTGTTATTGATGAATAATAGATGATGTGCTTATTGGACGATACTTCAACTATGAGGAATGAATAACAAGTTGTTATTGATGAATAACAATGCAAACTTGATGAATAATGATCTCATCCTAAATAAATAATAATATTATATTAAAAAATAGCTATAGTTTTCCAAGATGAATAATTATACTTTAATGAATGAATAATACACGTTAGTAAATGAAGAACTTTGATAACAAGAGTATATATTAAAATGGGATAATGTAAATAACTAAACTAACAAACTTCTAATTATGGGTTATACTAGACAAAAAATGAACAAAAACACTAATCACTATTTTTAAGATATAAGGTCTTAAAAGATTCGTCGATGTTCGATTTGTTTATATTGATTGATTGATTTCAGCAACTCTGATAAAAATATTTTATTCCCGACTGATCGACTTCATCTTGATGAGGATTTCTTTGTTGTTGATAAAACAACAAGAACATTATAATAAATGAGATTTGACATTCAATCAAAACTCTGTTAATCATCAATAACAATGCTATTGAAGATGAAGAATCATTTTGAAAATGATGAATAAGCATTAACATTACATAAATCGAATATAGCAATCGTGCACATGTGCATATTAAATGATGAATAATAACATCATTGGTGATGAATGACATATCTTTGCATGATGAATACACATATGTATGGAATGAATAACACATGTTCACATGATGAATGACATATATTAACAGGATGAATATTACAATTCTACAAGATTATTGACACATTTACAACCGTGCATAGAATAATAACCCTTTACTAATGAATAACTGCTAATGAATTAATGAATAATTGTACATAGATGATGAATAAAATTAGAGACAATGAATAACAATCCTTTACTAATGAATAAATAAGTCGATCTAATGAATATCACAATGGCAATGAATAAATAAGTCGAATAAGTCGATCTAATGAAAATCACAATGCAATGAATAAATAAGTCGATCTAATGAATATCTGATGATGAATAATATATTCGCAAATGATGCAAACATAAAAAAAAACAACAAATATCTGATGAATCATGTTATCGCTATGATTAATATTGACTACGATATGATGAATAATATCAGTATATAGAAATAATTTATCAAAGTAACCATAAAAAAGATTAAAAATTCTAAAACATTGATAAAGTATTATAGAAAACTGATGAACAATGCATAGAACTCTTTATCTTTTACAAAATGAGCATCATTTCAATGAACAAAACTGATAACTTGATAAACTAACATCAGTAATCGAGAGATTACTCTTAGATTTACATAATCCAAATATGCGGCTGACCACAAATATAGAATGAATAATGACATTGATTTGATGATTAACGATACTTAAATGAGAAATACTGTCAGATCTACTAAGAATTTATCAAATCAACCATAAAAAGATGAACAAGACTAAAAAATGATGAAGAAACATTATATAGATGATGAATAACGATAGAAAACTGATGAACAATTCCTAAATCTATTAATCTCTTCCCAAATCAACCAAATTTCGTTGAACAAAACTATTAAATTGATGAACCAACATCAGTAATCGAGCAAATAATCTTAGATCTACATAACCCATTTAAAAAAAATCATTTATTTAAGAGACTAGTAGTTTTACCTCATAAATGAATCAGAATCCGAATAAGAATAAACAGTCATTGATTTCTGCATAAAAGTTTCGGATCAAATATCAATATTGAAACATCATAAATGAAAAAATCAAGAAAAATTGATGAATACAGGATGAATTTAACCGTACTTTACCCGAATTTTCATCGTCTGCCAACCAAATTAAATCACTGATTTAATGCAAAATATGAGTTCTTTATCGAAAGAACTGACGCCGGAGCTTTTTGTTTTTGTATCGCCGGAGGTCTGAATTTCGAGAATCACCATTTTGAAGACCTGAATCGGTGAATCAAAAAATTGCAGAGAGGTAGTTGCGGGGAGGTTTGGAATGACGAGAGAAAAAATATGATCTCAATTAGAGAGAAAAATGGATGAAAATCGGTTGAAACTGTTTAATAATTTTACTATATATAAGGCGCGTTTTGTACACATAAATGATATTTTCCTAAATATTTGGAAGTGCACTATTTTCGCGCATGAATGCCACACTAGGAACACATTGCAATGTGCTCCTAGGTGCTGTATATTATAATTGAAAATACTGAGGAAAAAAAGAATAAAAAAGGTCGGCGAGTTGCGACTAACTTTTCTGGCTCAGACAAAAACCCGCAAAGAAAGGGCTTAACAAAATAAATTGAAAAATTCTCCCCAAAAAGAAAAGAAAAGAAAAGAAAAACAACTAAAAATAAATAGCAACTCTCTCTCTCTCTCTCTCTTGAAGGCTGAAGTAGTAGTAGTGCTGTTAGTAGTAAAACGTTGAGGAAATGATGAGAAATGCAGCTAACGAATACACCAATTGAGCTCAATTCGAACCCTCAGATCTGAGGATTGAACCTCCTTCTATCGAAATCTTTTCTGGGTTTTGCTTTGTTCCCCACTTACCGGTATGTACTTTTCTTTTTTTAATATTGTTTTCTCACCCTTCTTAGCTCTCCCTGTTTCTCTTGGCGTTGAACTTGTGAAAGTTCTGCTGAAAAACTACGAATTAACATTGATTTTGTTATTGGTGGGTTTCACATTCTTCTGATTGTTGAAATTCTGCTAAGAAAACTTTTTGGTCTTTTCTTTTTTTTTTAATCAATGTTAGTTGTTTTCTCGTACCCTGATGCAATTTGCCTTAGGGGGAAGAGTTGCATTAACGACTATCCGAAGTAAAACATGAAACTGGGATGGATTAGATTTTGCAACTAATTTGTGTTTTTTTAAGTTGTGGAGGTCTCTTCCCCATTTTGGTTTCGTTGGGTTTGGAACAATTTGGTCTTAGGATTGTGCATTTTGCTGGATGTGGTAAAAACTTTTTAGGTGCTTCATTGTTTTGTGGTTCTTAGAAGCCCAGTTTTCACTTGCAGAAAAAAAAAGGGAATAATTGGTTCTAAGACTTTGGTTGCCGAGTGCGTAAAATGGCTAAATCCCGGCAACATTTATCCGGGGAGGATGATTCTTCATTAGAGCCTCCGTCTTTGAGGAGAGAACCAGAAGGCCCTTTGCGGTGGACTGAGTACTTGGGTCAGGAAGTGGCTTTTAAAGGGTCTTCCAGAGGCTCCTCTAATGGGAAGTCTGAAGGGCAGGTCCAGAGCTCGAATGGATTGAGTCATAAGGGATTGAACTTGCAATGGGTTTACCAGCTCACACAAGTTGCTGAAGGGCTGATGGCCAAGATGTATAGGTTGAATCAGATTCTGGATTATCCTGACGTGGTTGGTCATGGTTACTCAGAAGCATTTTGGAAATCGGGCATTTTTCCCAACCATCCCAAGATTTGTGTCTTCCTCGCAAAGAAGTTTCCAGAGCACCATAGCCGACTACAGCTTGAGCGTGTAGGAGTTTAAGATTATGTTATGCAAACATCAAGTTGTCAGTTTGTTCTTTCTATTATCGAGTTTTTGCTATTTGCATTTATATTCATGTTGGAATCCAATGTAGGTTGATAAGGTTGCTTTGGATGCAATGAATGATGGAGCTGAAGTTTATTTACAAAGCTTGGAACCATGGATTCAGGTTCAGCCTTACCTTTGAACTTAGTTTAAGAGATCGAAGTGTTGAATGAATATTGGTTGTTTTGTACTTCTTTTGTTTGATACGTGGAGTACTCTGTCTCAGACAGATGAATAATTACACACATCTGATGTCAAATCTTGTTTCATCAGAGTTTCACAAGTTTGTTAATGATATTTGCATTTGATGGATGGCAAGTGCAGAAATTTTCATTGTCATAATTTTATAATCCTTTTTTGTGCTAAACCAGTCAGAGTATTTTCATAGTAGTATGTGATTCTCATCTTTTTATAAATGCACTGCAACCATGTCACTTCTAATTCAAGAGCTGGTTAGAATCCTCCCCATCCTCTTGAAGAAGATGAGATGTATACTACTCAGAGGGATAACTGTTTTTTCTTCTGTGTGTTAATGTTGATGTAAAAAAGATATGAATCCCTTCATTTTATTTTCCTACTGGCAGTTGCATTTGGCTGATGCATTTGATTAGGGAAAAATAATAAACTATCAGATACGGATCCCACATGTGCAATTTGTACTTTGTGGGTAATGTTGCTTCGTTTTAACTTTTATAGACTGTTTAGCCATGTTCTCCGTGTGCTAGTCTACAATGGCCCAAAGGAAAGTGGCACATTGTGGTTGGAGTGATATGTTATATGGCACCAAAAAGAGTAACGAGGTCGCAGAAGCAATTTTAGTTAACTAAGAAATGATTCTCCATTTTGTGTTTGAACATTTTTGATGAATTTGAATGCTCTTGAAAGATAAGGTTTGCCTGACAACTCTTTAGCTTGTCGGTTGATGCTTGATAAATATGATAGAAAACCTATTTGATTTCTTGTTATGCTGTTAAGTCAAAGGTGAGAAGGCATTTTTTTTGTTATCTGTTAGGTTTCAGTTCAATCTATGCTGACTTTTTTGGTTTGTGCAGTTGCTTCTTGACCTAATGGGGTTCCGGGAACAAGCTTTGCGCCTCATATTGGATTTGAGTAGTACTGTAATTACCTTATTGGTGAGTGTTTTCCCCTCATGATTTTAGTTAAATATATATGCTTCAGTTTTTGCTTTCCCTATATGGATGACTGGTATATTTAACTTCATTGTAGTGTATGCAAAAGCATGTATGTTACTTCTTCTTTTTTTCTTTTTGGATGACTTCTTAACTGTTATGTCCTTACATCTGTGAGTATATGTGTTTTTACCTTGACAAAATGTCTTCATCATATCATACTATTGTTGTTGCTCCATATTTGACATCTCTAATGGCTTGATTACTTCTGTTGCAGCCCCATCAGAATTCTCTAATATTGCACGCATTTATGGACTTATTTTGTTCCTTTGTTCGTGTCAATCTCTTATCTGAGAAGGTAGCTCCTATAACTTTCTAAATTAATACTCTGTATTTTTCAGCTCTGGTTCTAATTTTGCAGCCAAAGCATTCATTGTAAATCAAATGGATGTTTTTTCTTGAAATTCATGTGACTTTCATGTGATTATCAGATTCCAAGAAAGATGATGCTTCAGACGTATAATCTTTTGCATGCAATGGCTAGAAGTGACAGAGACTGTGACTTTTACAATCGGTAGGACTAAGCTCTGCTTCTTAGCCTCTTTTAATTTTTACTATTTTGATGAGGTTTTACATTTTGATTAAGATTTATTACATATCTTGTCATATTTTTCCTCACCTGATCCTTTTCTTGGACAACACTATCTATATGTGGAAACTGTGGATGTCAGAAGTTGTTCTGCTACGCCTTTTTTCGCATCCACTTCCCACGTTGTGGTTTCACCATGTTATTCTACCGAAATGCAATCTTCTTTTTGTTACACATCATTTCTTTTGAATAGTTCTCTTTGTAAGCCTTTTTATGTCTACCACTTCCAATACTCTATTTTTGACATGCTATACCTGGCATTGTACTAGTTTCGTCCTCGTAAACACATGCCCGAACCACCGTTAGTGTGTTCGTTTCATATTCTCATCTCTTTGTATACCCTTGCGTTCCTTTTTATGTATTCATTACCCGTTCTTTCTACTCTAGTAAATTTATGCTTTCATCTCAACATTCTCAATGCTTTTACTCTTGTTATTCTACTATTGTTCAGCTTTTAAGAAAAATGACCTTTTCTTTTCCTCCGTGTATTCGGTTTGAGAAATTGCTTTCATCTGAAGAGTTACTTTCTACTGAATGACAGGTTGCTCCAATTTGTGGATTCGTTTGATCCTCCATTGAAGGGGTTGCATGAAGACCTGAACTTTGTCAGTCCTCGAATTGGGGAGGTCATATTCTAGATTCTTAATACACTTCTGATGATTTGCACTCCTGCACTGAAGTTCTTTTATAGTCCTCGGGTACCTCTGCATTCAGTAAAAACGTTCGCTGAGTTTCATGTTTCTTTTGCTTTTTCTTTTTCTTTTTGTTTTGTTGATTTCATGAGAAAATTAAATGGTAGAAAGCTCACAATCTGAGTTCTGAAAAGGATCTGATTTCTATGCTCAGTTCAAACACTTTAGTTTCTCCACGGATAACTATCTGCAAAGAAGTCTTTCTAATTTGTTGTTCCAATTGCTGCCAGACTATCATGTCGGCAAGAATTCTGTATTTTGGCGACTCGATATGCTAATATTCTGCAGTCAGTTTTTCCCAAATGGAGCCCCTGTGACATGCATAACTCTGGGCCATCTCCAGCATAACTGCTGTCACTTCTGAAAACTCAAACTATCTCTTTTTAACATCAACTGGGTATTTTCTAAATAATATTTTTTGAAACTAAAGGTTTGTCTCTATTGGCGAAAGTCACGTTTAGATTTTGCCTTTATTATTATTCTATGGTTTATAAGATTCATTCTTATTCTAAGATTTTAGTGTGCTTGTTGCTGCTGTTGTTGTTTTTGATGATGATGATGATGTTGCATTATTCTAACATTTATATCTTTATGGAAACCAAATTTACTCTTTGATTGTTCTCAAGTACATCATATAAAGAAGTATTTACTCACATGTCAATGTGTCATTTGGACCCCTGGTGAATGTAGTTCCTCAGGATTGTTGCGGTATCCTGTGAGAATGATAAGCAAATCTGGCAATTTAACAAAAACGACTATTACTCAGTGTTCATCTGTTGTATTATGATCTACATGTTTTGTATGGTTACATGTTGCTTCCTTTTTTGTTCCTTCTTTTTTATTTGTTTCCGCAAGTATTGAGTTTGGAGAATTCTCTTTTGATGGATTGATGAACTATTCATTTGATCGTTCCAGGTTCTTGAGGCCATTGGCCCAACAATATTTTTGTCTACTGATACAAGGAAGCTGCGGAATGAGGGGTTTTTAAGCCCGTTTCATCCTCGATATCCGGACATTCTAACTAACTCGGCACATCCCATGGTGATGACTTGCTTACTGATTTATTATGTGTATTTCTGATAATTTTGTTTTGTTTTGTTTTTTGGTTGTTAAGTTGAATCAATTCTCTTTCCTTTTTGATAGAGGGCTCAAGAGTTGGCTCATGTCACTGCTTATAGAGAATGGGTATTGTTTGGCTATCTTGTTTGTCCTGACGAGCTTCTCAGAGTAACTAGCATTGACATTGCTCTGGTACATTCCTAGCTTTTATATCATGTTTACTCCTTTTAATCGTTGAGGAGCCTTGAGGGTTTGTGTTACAACATTTTTGCTCTGTTGTTTCCTTGTACTTCTGCATATGTTACAGTTTGCTCAACAGATGGGTTTAAAGAACTAGAGTCATATATGTATTGAATCATAACTCTCAACACAAAGTTTTCGCTAATGTTTATGAGAAACAGGATTATTAAAAAAAATAAAATGCAAGAATACAATCTTTAAGAGTACTGTGTCTGTCAGGAACCATCCAATATTTAATCTGTCATGTTCATCTTTTATCTTCTTTTGGAGGGTCCTACGAAAAAGCCCTTCACTTTGCAAATTAAAAGTTGTATGATATTATCCTGCAAATATAGACCTTAAAAATTAAAAACAAGCTAAAACTTTGGTTTCCCCTTTCTGTAATATTCCGGTTTCTCTCTGCGTCATTTGGCTGTCTAGATTTTGTCATTTATATAAGGATATTCTATTGGCAAGTCATAACTGTGCTTTCACTATTGCTAAAGCTTTCACATCAATTTGTTTGCATTTTCAGGTAGTGCTGAAGGAAAACCTGGTGCTTACTTTATTCAGGGATGAGGTTAGTTCTTTCTGTCAATGACATTTTTATAACTAGTTAACATTGTTTATGTAAGCTAAGTTTGGTTGTGCCAAACTTGTAGCACATATTGCTGCATGAGGATTATCAATCCTATGTTTTGCCACGGGTATTAGAATCGAAGAAGATGGCTAAATCTGGACGAACAAAGCAAAAAGAGGCAGACATGGAGTACAGCATTGCGAAGCAAGTTGAGAAAATGATAAGGTATTCGAATTGAAACAAGATTTTTATGCTAAATAGATAGATGCCGTCTTTTCTCCTGTAAATGGTTATGTCAAAGTAGCAAAGCATGTGTAGCTAATGAAACTAAAATGGTCACTGAAGTATGGAAACCAATTCAGTCCCGAGCCTGTTACTGATTTTTCAAATTGGATGCAGTATTAATTGCTTGATTTATAAGAACAAAATGTGTAATTGTCCATGAAACTTCAGATCCCATACGTTTGAGAGCTGAAATTGCTTGTGTTAAACTTCCCCTTTTCTCCTGTCCAAATTTTATTCCCTCTCCACCCAGGTTTTTGGTTTAATCTCCTCTCCACCCAGGGCTTTGGTTTTTTGTTTCCTTTTATCTCCCCCTTTCTTTTGAATGCCTGTTGTAACCCAAAGAAAATATTGTCTTGTTAACTATCTGTGGTGAACAACTTCAGTATGTGTCTGTTAAACTTGGGGACTTGAAATAGATTCAAAAGCTGAACATATTTTTGCAGTTTTCTCTCTTTTTTTTTGGTAACATGTTTGCAGTGTTCTTCTGGTGGTTGTGATATATGGCTGATGAAATTAACTGTGTTTTCTTTTTTCTTTTGGAATCACAAATAGTGAAGTTCATGAGCAAGCCCTACTGTCCTGTGATGCCATACACCATGAACGAAGAATATTGTTAAAGCAAGAGATTGGAAGAATGGTTCTTTTTTTCACAGACCAACCAAGTTTATTAGCTCCTAATATTCAGGTATGCAATGTTCAGATTTGGTGCTTATTTTTTTTCATCTGTAATATTAGGCTTTATCTGAATGCTATTATGATGATGGAACTCCTCAGACTGCAGATTGTTACATGGGGCTTAATTTACAAAAGTTAGCTAGAGAAACTAAGAAGATGCTTGTTTTTATTATAGTGTCATGATAAATAATTGATTCTATTGAAAGAAAAAGATTGATCATGTTTTTGTTGAGCTTGATAGTTGTAGTCCAAGCTCATACTATGCATTAGAACACCGAGAAATATGAATCAGAACAGTGACTAGTAGAGTGCTGGGGCCTCAAAACAAACTCCTGAGAACAGTCTAGCCTGGGAACTGTAATTTTTATTGCTCTGGCCTTTCGCAGTCTCTGTTGTATGGTTATTTTTATTCTATGCGGAGAGAGGCATGAATACATCCTTTTACAGTCTCTGTTCTATGATTATTTTCGTTTTTCAAGAAGTATGACATTTAGTTCAACTCGAATAAAGTTTATGTTGCAATGTAAATAAAAACTTCAAAATTTCATTTTCTAATTTAAGTTGCCTAATTACTGCAGATGGTATTTTCAGCATTAGCCTTTGCTCAAAGTGAGGTATTGTGGTATTTCCAGCATGTTGGAGTTGCTTCATCCAAACCCAGAACTGGTCGAGTAGTGCCAGTAGAGATTGTAAGAACGCTTTCCTCTGTAATCACATGCCTGTCATCATTTATTCTTCCATGCATGTTCATTTTGTTAATCATTAGCCTGATGTGTAGAGCTTATTCTCCATTGTAACATGTGTGACAGGATCCAAATGACCCAACTATTGGGTTCTTACTAGATGGAATCGACCGCCTGTGTTGCCTTGTTCGCAAGTATATTGCAGGTTAGATTGGCTGTTGTCAATATGATATCTGTATTTAGATCAAGAATTTTAAATTTATGATTTCCATCATCAACATCGTTATCCTCTTATTGTTATTCTTATCCTTTTTGGGTGTGTTTCTCTGTTGATGGTTCTGTACGTTGCTTTTGCCATTAAGAGCAAATGCCCAAAGTATGGGTTATGAAAAGAGTACACGTGCCAAGTCTAAGTGGTGTGTTTATTTTTGACAATTGCGTTAGAGCACCATTAGGTTTAATGAAATTTACCTGATAACTTTGAGCTTAATTGCTATGACCTCGATATGAGAACCATAGAAGACTCTAATTGATTATCTCTTAACCTTTTCATATGATCCACCTCATGATAATTTTGAAGAAGTTCTAGTACAGAGGGTTACACAGCTTTCTTTCCCCAAAAATATTGGACATGTGCAGGGGATATGATATGAGAATAGTAAATTTAGAAACGTTCAGAACTTGAGATAGATGATAAAATTTGAAACTGTTGGTGCCTCCTAGATAGCGAATATTTGATATTGTTGCAAAAATTGAAACCTTCTAAATGTTATCCTTGCGACCTATATATACGGCTCCTTCAATTCAAAAACTTGTTTAGCATAACCTAAGAAAATAACTGTTAAACTGGGAATGGAGAAGGTTTGTCATACTATGAACTTCAAAAAACTGACCCTTTTTGACCATCTACTTTCTCTAGTTCTTTACATTCAGAGCAAGTATATCAATTTGCTGTTATGAAAATTTCATTGAGTGGCAACCAACAATTACATTTACATATTTCACTTGTTAATGTTGTTGCGCTCCTGGTGTAATTGAAGTTTTCTTTTATAGTTCAATTTTTTTTTTCATTAATCACCAAATCAATCCTTTTCCCCAGCAAGAACACTTACTCTCTCTCTTTCCCCTCTGCATAGTGTCTTGGAGTAAATTTATTCATATCTATTTTCAATGCCTTCTTTCAGCTTCTCAAGTCAATAATAGTTCGAAAACTGAATAGGACCGTTTAGTGATTGTCATGTATTGATTGCCAGATGTTGATCACTGAATTCTTTCACTTGAATTCTTTGTGACATTTTCTAAACATGTATAAATCATGAAGTACAAGTCCACAATTGTTGCTATAAATTACCGTTGATGGTTAAACAAATGGTTGATGACATGTTCATTTTATTCAGCTATTAGAGGCTATGCCTTATTGTTCCTATCATCATGTGCTGGTAGAATTCGTTTTCTTTTGGGCACTCCTGGAATGGTGGCTCTTGATCTGGATGCAACATTGAAGGGACTTTTCCAGAAGATTGTTCAGCACCTTGAAAACATACCAAAACCTCAGGGTGAAAATATCTCTTCCATCAATTGTGATTTATCAGTAAGCACTTTTCTCATCTTCATTCACATGAGGCAAACATTCTTCATCTCTCTTTCCTTTATCGCAGAAAACTGTTAGTAATAGGAACTTATATCTCTGATCATTATGTGCATCCTAAAATAGACATCCTCACATGTGCAATGAGGACTTTGATCTTTGATATGTTTGAGTATTCTGAAAGACAATCAATTTCTTGCTTAACACCGATCTGTATGATGAGTAAATAACCATGCATTCAAAATGAACCTCTTTTGGTTGCTCTTCCCGTGGGTAGCAATATTTTTGCATCGAAATTGAAAAATTTGGACATCCTCAAGAACCATCATTTAGAAGGAACTTGTGACAACAGTTAGTGCTGTGACATACTTTGTCTGTCTGAAGCAATATCTGTACATCTTTTAGTACAAAGCTTTGTGGTTCGTAAGAGGGCATGAATTTCGACAAGTTGCCTTTGGCAACATATGTCAGTTTGTGAGCCAATTCTGATCTTAATCTTCCTGAGAAGCTGATCTGGTACTAAGTGAAAGTTTGTTAAGGTCCAGTGGTTCACGGCAAGGTGCCACCAGACCGACATTCGGTTGAGAGAGTATTTTACTACACTCTATAATTAAGATGGACTTAAGTTACTAGCTTAAGCTTTTAGCTTCAAGTAGTATTTTAGTCTCATTGAACTCTATGGTTTTCTTTTCTCTTGGGCTTTAAGAATTAAAAGGGAGAGACATAGGAATCATTAATTGAACTCAAAGGGCGACGGGACGACATAGAAAGAAACTCTTAAAAGACATATTATTTCATAAATAGAACTGAACAAATGTTGTATTGACTCTGCTTAAGGGAGTCATATGATCTCTCTTGTCTGTGTGATAAAGGCTTAATCATCCTTTTTTTTTTCTTTTTCTTTTTGGTTCTTTTTCTCATTTTTTCATATTGATGAAGTGATTTAGCTTATACCTCCCAAATGATGGCATGTGTATGTGTATCAGGGCTTTCGTAGAGATTGGATGTCAATCTTGATGATTGTTACCTCTGCTCGCTCATCCATAAACATTAGACACTTGGAAAAAGCTACCGTATCGACTGGGAAGGAAGGTTTACTATCAGAAGGAAATGCTGCTTATAATTGGTCAAGGTAATTCTGTTGAATTGTTAGCATCACTTAGGATGTTTGAAAATTTTTGATGCTTCCTCTCAATTATCTTTAACGATGCCATTTACTATTATCTAAAATTTTTTCTACCTTTGCTTTTTTATAAATAATGTTTTTATCCAAAGACGATGGTCAAATGGTTTTGGTTGTTTTTCTTTTATATTATTGATGGCATCTAGGAGGATGTATTTGGCTTCTTTTTTTTTCCTTTTTTTGGTTTAACCTGTGTAAGAAGTGGCTACGTTTTTGGTGACTTGTGAAGCACTTCTCTATGCTGACAATGCTTGTGTGAGGGCAGATGCGTTGATGAACTTGAGTTTCAGTTGTCAAAACATGGGAGTTTGAAGAAACTTTACTTCTATCATCAACATCTTACAACTGTAAGTTGTGCCATCATTTTCTTCTCTGTGTCTCATTCCATAGAGGATTGCAAACCGTTTTTAATTAAAAACTTGCTTGGAATTTGATTATTTTATACATGTATCTTGAAATAAATTTTACTGTAATTACAGGTTTTCCGGAACACCATGTTTGGGCCTGAAGGCCGCCCGCAACATTGCTGTGCATGGCTTGGTGTTGCTAGTAGTTTCCCAGAATGTGCTTCTCCAATTGTTTCTGAAGAGGTATCCAAGTATTGAACAATATCGATGCTTCGGAATATTCATGCTAGTTGTAAATAGTTTACTGAGGCACGTGGCACTTGCTTGGTTGTTTCTTTGAGTACGTTGATGATATTTTTAATGTTTTGGTGAACCTTGAGTGGAAAAGAATAACAATGTCAAAATAGATAGATCACAAATGCAAACTGTTGAGTACAGAGCAAGAATAATCTTCTTGCAACCAAATATATTTACTCATTGAATTCTTTCAATTATATGTTTTATTCAAATTATTACTTTGTGCTTTTAGTACTCCCATCATTTGCTATCTGTAACTCTTCCATTAATGCTCTTAGTCTCGGCATGCAGAAAAATGCATTGGCTATTACTAAAATTCGTGATTGTATCTGTTTGCCTTTACTGATTTGCTATCTGCATAACTGTCCATTTGATGAAATTCCTGTGAGATTTTCTTCTTGAGAACACATCAAGGTAGTTTGTCAGTCTGTTGTTTTCTTTGAAGCAAGGTGTTGAAACTTTCAATTTGTATCTTGGTTTTCTAATGAAATTTTTACTATAACTGGTGTTGCTGGAAATTTCTATTGTGTTTTACATGCGCGTAATTATCTTGAACTCTAGGACATCTGGAGGTAGATCAACAGTGTCAGGGCATTTAGTATTGTGTTTAACAAACGTGAACCTGCTCTTATGACTCAGGATTCTGGGGTTGTTTTGGTGCCTAAGATATAGTGCTTAGTATAGTAGATGGAGCTTTTCCATCCTCAGGATAACCTCTGAACCATGTTGTTCATATAAAGCAAGTTCGACAACCTAGCCAAGTGCTCAGCAGCTTAATAAGTTAGAAATCTTCTCCGTTATAACAAACAAAATACTTTAGTTTGACATATGGTGGCAAAATAGTAAGTGACCATGTAAAATTGACTTGGATTTGAGTTTTAGGCTTCTTGGAGAAAATGCTCAGCCTGGCCAGGGTTCCATTTCTCTGTTCTTAGGGCCAAACATTCGAGTTTGGACCTTTGTGTTTGGTAAGCTGATTTTCTTAGTTTGTACCTTTGTTTTTGGTCAACTGATTTTCTTTCCCAATCAAGATTCAGAAAATAATTTGATGTCCTAATTATACCTTACATTCATCTTGGATATGATTCTGCGTAAGTTTTTGTTTTCCTCTTTGCTTGGGATGTTTTGATGTAAGCAATCAGAATTTAAATTCCACTCCTTGTTACTACGTTTTTTCCTTCATCCTTCGGTGCTTGTTTCTTCCGCTAGTTCTCTAAATTGCTATTAAGAAACAGAGTTGTATGGTGACCATGGAAGTGAAAATCCATAAGCTTATATCTCCACCCTAGGCCTTTTCCTGCTTTGTTCTTGCTATCTTATCACTTCTAGTTTTACTGCAGATGCCTGAAAAATAAGCCTCATTTTTTTTCGGTAATGTAGATCACTAAAATAGGGCGTGATGCAGTTCTGTACGTTGAGTCCCTTATTGAATCCATCATGGGAGGATTAGAAGGATTGATTAACATCCTTGATTCTGAGGGTGGATTTGGGTCTTTGGAAATGCAGGTTAGCATCGTCTCAGGGTATTAATGCTTTTGAGGAACCAACTATTCCTGTAATGGGGAGCTAATTTTATATTTGACTGCAGCTTCTTCCTGAGCAGGCAGCGAATCTTATGAATTTAACATCCAGGCTTTCTGCTCAATCATTCAAGTCTCCAAGGCCCGTGTCTGGTTTTCATTTTCCTGGTTTTGAGAGCTACCCTGCAAATAGTGAATCTATAAAAATGTAAGGCGGAAACATTTATCTTCATTTATCAAATAGTTAATATAGCTACGGTTATACTTCATTTTCTCTTTGTGACGGTAACAGGCTAGAAGCAGCAATGCAGAGATTGACGAATCTTTGCTCAGTCTTGAATGACATGGAGCCTATCTGCGTTCTTAACCATGTATTCGTTTTGAGGGAGGTAAGACATTGTACATCACCAATCAAGTAAAAAATCATTCTCCTGTTAGCTTCTCCCGACAATCAAATACTAACTGAAGTCATTCACGACCTGCAACCTTGATCAAATGCCCTCTTACACTCCTGTTTTTAACATTGTTGCACATTTTATTATTAGCACTGCAAATTGTATAAATGAACCCCCTTTGAGGAAAAGAAGGTACTGGAAGCAATGGGAAGTCAAAACTTCTTCATGAGAAATATTAGACTTTGTGATCAGATATGTATTGTAGCCAACATTGACCCTTAAGTTTGATAACTAACAATGAGTGGAAAAGCTGAAAATATATGAGCATAGGATTGCACAAAATAAAGTGGAAATGATTGCCATTTGATAAGGTCGATAGGTTGGTTGGCAGGAGGATGCAATTTTCTTCTTAAGGTATTGTATCATTAAAGATCACTGAGTGCATTTTTACTGTGAATGATTTGGTGGAAAGTCAAAATAAAACTGTACTCAAGAGTGCTAAAAAGATACCACACTTACACCCAGATTATCAGACCGTAGCTTGACCCTTTCAATTATCTATATTTCTTGCTTGATTCACTTATTATTAGCATATAGAAATGTCGAGCGTATGATATATGCTCTCCTTGTTATAACCTGCAATCTGATAGATCCTCCATTTGGTTTGCAGTACATGCGAGAGTGTATCCTTGGAAACTTCAAAAGGAGGTTTCTCGCTGTTTTAAAAACTGACAATGATCTCCAGCGGCCTTCTGTTCTAGAATCGTTGATCCGTAGGCATACGGCCATAGTTCATTTGGCAGAACAACACATCAGTATGGACCTCACACTTGGAATTCGAGAAATTATTCTTTCTGAAACTTTCTCCGGTCCTGTATCTTCCTTACACTTGTTTGAAAAGCCATCAGAGCAGCACACTGGATCTGCTGCTGAATCTGTATGCAACTGGTATATAGAAAATATCGTTAAGGATATATCCAATGCTGGTATCCAATTTGCGCCATTACACAGATGCTTCAAAAGCTCAAGGCCAGTTGGGGGATATTTTGCAGAATCTGTGACTGATATTCAGGAACTGAAAGCATTTGTGCGAATTTTTGGTGGCTATGGAGTTGATAGATTAGATCAAATGGTAAAAGAGCACACAGCTGCCCTTCTGAATTGTATTGACACATCTTTACGAGCAAACCGTGAGAATTTGGAGGCAGTTGCTGGAAGCATGCATTCCGGGGACCGATTGGAATTAGAAACAAATATTAAGCAAATCATTGATATGGACACAATGATTGGGTTCTGTATCCAAGCAGGGCAGGCAATTGCCTATGATGGTCTTCTATCAGAAGCTGCAGGGGCTGTGCTTCAAGATGGTGCACCTTTGATACACTCATTGCTTGCTGGTGTGTCTAAGCATTTGCCTGACGAAATACCGGAGAAGAAGGAGATTAGAAGATTGAGAAGAGTGGCTAACCCCATGAATGTACTTGGAGATCATGATTCTGAGTGGATTAGATCTATTTTAGAAGAGGTTGGGGGTGCAAGTGATGGTTCATGGAACTTGCTGCCATACTTATTTGCGACATTTATGACTTCTAGCATTTGGAACACAACTGCCTTCAATGTTGACACTGGAGGCTTCAGCAATAACATCTGCTGCTTGGCTAGGTTCACTCCTTTCCTCTTTTTATCCTCTTAATTCTTAAATTGTGCGTGCAGAAAAATGGGGAAACATTTATGGGAAAACATGGAACATTTTATTTCTATTTGATCAGATCTTGTGAAGAATTAGGTATCATTGCACTGATGCTTTCTTGTGATATGCTCTTCTAACTTACTTCAAAAATTTAAGTGAACTGCTAAGCAAATTGTTTGATTTACAAAAATTAAGCTGACATTCAAGCTTAAGTGTATCGAAATTTTAGCAGCATTGGGAAGCAGATATAAGTTTTTCAGGAAAAATAGGTCAAAATCCCAAATTTTAAAGCTCAATTTAGACCTCGTTATGTCTGTGTATAAATTAACAATGTTTCCTCATGTTGTATGTTATGATATGGTTAAGCTAGACCATGTTATGCTCCTGTGGTTGGCTTAACCTATCTGTTGCGCTCCTCTATTCTCCATTTACATATGGATTAGTTTATTCTTGCAAGTATCTTATCTTTTTGAAGTTTCTGACTAACCCAATCTGGCAGGTGTATAACCGCAGTTATTGCTGGAAGTGAGTTTGTGAGACTGGAAAGGGAACATCAACATAAACAGTCCTTCTCAAATGGTCATGTTGATCAGACACTGAATTCTGAAGCACCAAGTCGCTTGTCAGCTGAGGCAAACATTAAGAATATTATGCAGCTTTTTGTAAAATTTTCAGCTGGAATCATTCTGGACTGCTGGAGTGAAAACAACAGGTAAGATGATCTTTTCCTTATCTTGGCTGAGAAATTTCCTCAAAAACCAACTGATTGCTAAGGTGGGCAATATGGCTTTTCACAAGCTTCATTGATTTTTCTTTCATTATGTTTTAAGAATTAGAGTTCTGGTAATCATCTACATTTATCAATCTACATTTTAGCATATAACTAGAATTGTGATCATAATATAAGTCTAAAATGGAGAACATATTTTAGCTAAAAGGACTCAGCATTAAACAGAGATCCAATCCAGCCTATAAAGACTCTCCTGTGTAGGTTATCCTGGGCTACATGAACTTTTATGTTTGATATAGTCGTGGGGAAGAGGATGACTATTTTGCTTCTGTGACATATTTAAACACGCAAGTTTTTCGAACGATGGTTATTCTCCTTTTTATCTGCTCAGGTCGGATCTCGTTGCCAAGCTGATATTTCTGGACCAACTCTGTGAACTATCGCCATACCTACCTCGAAGTTCACTGGAGTCTCACATTCCTTATGCTATCATTCGGTCAATCTACAGCCAGTATTACACGAATTCTCCTTCAGTACCCTTGGCATTGTTAAGTGCATCCCCTCGCCACTCGCCTGCCATGGCACACGCGTCGCCCGTGGTGAGGCCACGGGGAGATTCAACCCCTCAATCAAGTGTTCATGATTCAGGGTACTTCAAAGCATCAACAACCCCTGGCCATGATCAACAATATGACGGTGGTAGTGCAAGCATACGAAGTATGGACAAGCTGCAGCGGAGTGCTCGGCGTTCTGGCCCATTAGATTACAGTTCCAACCGGAGAGCAAAACATGTTGAAGGTTCAACATCAGGGAGCACGGGTCCTAGTCCGTTGCCTAGGTTTGCAGTGTCAAGGTCAGGTCCCATATCATACAAATAGAAACATCTGATTCAGGAAGTTGTGTATAGTTGCTGCTGTTAGTTTTAGATCTATAGTAGGCTGAGGTCACTCATTGTAAAATGCTCCCGTTTTTGAAGTGTTCATATCTTGTATAGATTCCCTTCTCTTTCAATCGAAGCATTTTCAATCTTTGGATAACATAATCACACAATCACATCACACTATTCTGTTACATGATTTCCAACATTGCAGCTGAGCTAGAGTTGGTAGCTGGCTTGCCGGGCCGGGTTTTAATTCACTAGCAAGAACGTGGGTGTAGGGAGACACCAGAATCAGTGGATGTTTGCTCCATTTTATAAAAAAACTGGAAAAAGAGCTTTGAATGTAGAAGCATACATAGAGTGAATATATCTTAGAAAGGCGCTTCTCTTTACAATACCTAATGAGGTTACAACAAATCCCTCGAATGACAGTGAAGGAGTATTTACATAGTACAAACATCATAATCTACGACATGATCTTGGAACAAACATCCGTTGTATAATCATCTCAGATGGTGCCTGAGGAATAAAATAAGAAACAGTATTCTGGTAAAATGAATGAAGACATGAAACATACGGCCAAAGAAAGCACAATCTTGGAACGAACCTCAAAGTCTCTTTAGTTCCACGGCGAACTTTGCAACGAATAGTTGGCAGCCCAAGGCGTTGATGAGCCTCGTACCGGTGGCAACCAGAGAAACCTATCAAAGTACAAGAGACCAAGACAGGAGATTTATATACATTCTCCGAAGTTATTTAATACAATATAGCTGAACCTGAAAAATGTTAGAAACTGGAAAAGACTTGTGTCTACAGAACTCAGGAGTGCAGATGTAGAGAAATTGAGCTAATGCTCACCATAGTATACTCCATCAACCTCAAGCACGTCAATCTGCATAATTGCATTGCACCGGATGACAATTCAGAGGATTGTATGAACAGCACAATAACAAGAGAGGAGAAAACTAATATCAGCCAGCTATACGATATGTAGAATGATGGTCTCTAATGGTCAGTGAATAAAAAGAGCTGAGTTTCCCATCTCCATTTATGTTACAAGGAAACACTGATTTATTGTTTACGGAGATGAAGATTGCTTGACTGAGGCTATGACAGCCAATTGGCAAGATTGTACATAACAACTTAACAAGGGTTGCAGAGACTGCAACAACTCAAGACTGAACTATTATATCCCCTCCGTCCCAAAATAATTTTCCAGTTTGGATTTTCATTTTTAGTTCAAATTGTACTAAAAGTGAAAATCCAAACTGGACAATAATTTTGGGTCAAAGGAGTATTATTATTCCGAGATTGGAATAACCATATGTTATTAAGTTAGCACCAGATCTTAAGTACAAACATGCGCTATCACACACTTATCGGGTAAATAAATTTCTTTCTGTAAACCAGTAAACGCATGCCTCCCAAAATTGAAACACTTTGGTTAGAGGAAGTTTAGCAACTAAGTTTTTTAGTTGGAAAAGGGCCAGTTGAAGTTCAGTAACCACTATACTAGAAAAACCTTGAGATCAGAAACCGATGACAGTATATTTGATTAAAAATTTTCATAACATGAATTCATGAAAACAGAAACCACTTCTCTAACCAACTCTCATTTATCTTAACAGACACAATGGACTTTCCAGTGGTGTTAAACATTTCCCTTCCGCGATACTAGAGAGGCGCTTTGTGGAACAGCAATAATGCCATAAATAGAAAACCAAACTAGGTTTTGTACTTCAAAGTTCACAAACAATGAATCTAAAACAATATTTTCAAGAAAATTGTGGGTACTGATGGCCTTACAGGTACTTGAAGACCAATTTCACTGATACTGTCCATGAGTTCCTTCACCTTGTGAGGATCATTTGCTCTAGTTCGCATCAGGGGTCGTCGAATTTGTTCGAGGGGAAGCTCCAATATCACGGGTCCCCCAGATTGAGCAGGAACACCAGGAGGTGATCCTGAAAATCACAAGAGCATTAAATATATACTGAATAACTGCAGTGAAATCAGACAAAGTCTTGAACTTTCTTTTCTGGAGACAAAATCCAACTATGTACAGGCCCAATTCAGTCTACATCCTTAAGATTTCGTCAAAGCACACATAAAAAGAACCCAATTTGAAGAAATCCTCTGAAACTTAGAAAAAGACCAAATTTAGAACAGACCCACCAATCAAAAATGCCAGAGAGCAAAATTTCATCTCAGTTTAGCAGGCTTTAGCTCCATCTACATGTATAAGATCATAAAAGTAAGAAGAAATAAATGGTAAGCGACAAAACGTGGAGCTATTTACCATTAGAGGAAGCTGAGAGAGCAAAGCTCCTGGGAGCGTTAGGGAGTTGTAGCAGAAAATTCGCCATCTTTTTACTACTGGCTACCAAAAAAACTTGGGGAAAGGGAAGAAAATTCTTTTGAATACTTTCCCAATTTTCAACTTTGCACCCTGAAATTATTGCCTAATTACATGAGCACCAAATTCTAATTAGGATTTACAATTGTTGACCACGAAATAATATGAGGGTACACTCCAAAATGCAAGACAAATTTGGACAATTGGCCGAATTGTGCATCTAATACATTTGGCCCTGTTTGATAAACACATTCAACATTTACATTTAATTGATTCACACTGTTTAATAAGATGATGTCATAATAACTTAATTCATTAAGAACGTAACTAAGTGTCTGTTTGATAATTACTAAAGTCTGAATCTGAACACTTAACACTTAACACTGAGTCTGAAGTCTGAAAATTGAATTTACATTGTTTGATAAAAACGTCTGAATATGATGTCTGAAGACTGAAGTCTGAGGTCTGAAGACTGAATCTGAATACTCATGTCTGAAAGTTATTTAAAATTTTATATCATTAAAATTGGCTTATAAACAAAATTCTCTTAAATAGAAAAATAACTAATATTTTGTTCTAAATAATAAAATAATAATTTTGAAATAAGTTTTTGTATATATAATGAAAGTAGATGTTACACTTGGTAAATAATCAATATATAATTAAATTTAGATTATTACATATATGTGTATACCTTGTTATTTAGCAAATTTCATGTATTAAAATTAGTTTAATTTGAGTTTGAAAGTTTGAGATCTTTTATACACATAATATAAATTCAACTTTAAGCACTCTTAATTAACTTATCTTAAGAAAATAAAAATTTTAAAAACAATGTAAAAATAAGCGACAAAATAAAGACGAGGGGAAAAAAGGAAAAAAAAAGAAAAAAGAAAATAAAAAAGAGTTACATAGAAATTAAGTGATAAGTGATAAGTGATAGGCCTATCATTTATTTTCTGGCTTACAATTGAACTGGCCATTCAGACGCACTTACTTAATTTAGACACTGAAATTCTAGTTATCAAACGCACTTAATTTATAAGTACTTAATTAATTTAGAACTTAATTCATTAAGACTTTTTAGTAGCGATTATCAAATACACTTAATTTTATTAATTACTTAAATAAATTAAGTCACTATATTAAGTGATTATCAAACAGAGCCTAAGTATTTAAGTTTTAAGTGCGTTTGATAACTAAAAGTATGATATCTTAATAAAAGTGGGTCTGAAATGCAAGTACAAATTTGAGTCTAAAAATAAGTGATAGACCTATCACTTAATACTGAAATGAATACTTGAGACTTTTTTTTTTAATCTTCTTAATTATTTACTTTATGTTTATATTTAAATATTTTTATGTTTGATTCATTGTTAGTAATCTTGGTGTTTATTTTGAAGTAAAATTTATGTAAATTAGTTTTTATTTTTCTTATAATTGTATTTATTTTAATAAAAAAATTAAAATACGAATAAAATCTATGATAAATATATACTTATCGTAAGGATCTACTATTATTATTAATTATAAAATAATTACATAATCAAAAATAAATATTTTTGTTGCACACATTCATAATTATATTATCATGGTTTCGTACTTATAATTTAGTCATTTAGAAAAAATTATAAGTGAAGATCTTAACGACTTCAGATTTCAGTGTTCAGACTTCAAATTTCAGACATTTTTTTCAGTCTTTAGATTTTAATTTTCATCAAACAAGATAAATTTAATTAATTCGGTACTTAATGGTTCAATCTTCAGACCCAAATTAAATTTTATCGAACAGGGACTGGGATTCATTTTTTTTTTTTTGGTTGCTTTGTTCTAGCATTGGGATGCTTTCTCTAAATACACAGCTTATAATTTTATGTACAAAGAGTGAATTCATACTGCAAAAATATACCTCCTGGTACCCTGAAAATCATTATTTAAGAGTTTTTTTTATGAATAAATATATATTATACATATATATATGTAATAATATTGAATAATAACAAAATAGAAATTGCACAAGTAAATATTGCTCGCAACTCATGTATAAGTTATGTGCAACTCACGAACAAACTATATGTTCTTTTCTTAATGTCAAGTGAAAAATTTAAATATACATATATATATATATATATATATATATATATATATATATATATAGTGAAAACTTTTCCATACAAAATTTTCACTTAAAAATATCATTACTGGTTAGAGTATTTTGACAAGACTTCCAACGATCCGATGAGTTTTTCAATGTCATATTGTTGATTATGTACAATATGAACATAGATGTAAATAGTTTTTTTGGGTAAATGGTAAACATTATTCCATCATTTAGAATCACTTCTTTACAAGAATACAAAATTAAAAAACCATTCGCAAAAAAAAAAAAAAACCATTCTTAAAAAAAAATAAAAAAATAAAAAAACTTTGAATCTAACATAAAGACTACCACTACAATCTATACACTCTGCCAATAACCCAAAGAGAAAGATAAAAGAATAGATTAATTTAGCTAGTTTATCAAATCCTATTTCTCTCACAAAATCTTCTTCTGCCTTTTTCATCTTTTTTGCACAGTGCCGCCACTGTCCACTTCAAGTCTTGCCACAATTCAGCAAAAAACAACTTCAACTGATTTCACCTTCTTCTCAGAAATTGCCAAATCTCTATTCTGTCAAATCATATAAACTCCTACTGATACAACAGCAAACAAAACCTGTTGTTTGATTTTAGACCACTTCCAAACATACATGAGGTTGTTCCATTCTGATGGTGTTAATTTACATCTTTTCAACTTTAGCCACTGTCCTATTCTGGACCATCACTACAAGAAAAAAGCCCGTTTAGCCACTAGGGTATATGGTCATTAAAGGCTTAAAGTCGTCACGAAAACTACATATTGACAACAATCCAATCGTCACATGTTGGACGCTATTGAATGGTCCCTAAATTATTAAAGTGACGACAAATTAGATGTTTGACACTAAAGCTACCGATTAGCGACTAAATGCAAGTTGTCACAAACTCTATTCACGACAATATGTTGTCACTTGGTTATTCACTAAAAGGAATATTTCGTCAGTAAAAGTACATCTTTTAGTGGCCAGATTTTTCCAATGACCAACCACGATTGTCAATGCAAGTTTCAGTAAACTCTTTTACTGACCACGAGAAAGTGACGTCATAATACCTTTATGACGACAAAACATCGTCATCCATTATGGAGAGGAGTGATGCCGATGCACGACAACATATCATCACTAAATGAGCTACCCCACAGTGTCGATTCTTAGTGACGATTCATGTCATCAATAGAACATTAAAATTGTGACTACCATTGAAAAATAAAAGCTCGTCACTATTGTTAAAACAGTAGTGACACTATTATATGGTAGTTATAATCGTCACTAGATTTTTTATCAGTCACCCAATGATGACATTTACTGACGCAGTTTGTCGTTGTAAATCTTAGTGACAAATAAAAAAAATAAATAAACAAAAACAACCATATAAATAATTTCATATAAAAATATTATAAATATCCAATCGGCCACTATGAAATTATTCACCAAAAAAAAAAAAAACTTCATTAAATGAAAAAATTACAAAGTAATGTATTTGATGATACCAACTCGCTTGCATTTACATCATTTATTCCTTCATAACTACAACGATGTATTGCACATATCTGATTCTCTTCAAAATTTTTGAAAAAGCTTTCACGATGAGTCACTGCAATGGATACAAGTTAAGAAGAAAACAAGAAATATTAGTTATTTGATAGCAATTACATGATCTAAAACTACTTAAACTATGTCACATAATGAAACAAAAATTAAAAGAAAACTTACGTTTATCTTAGATTTCACTAAGTATTTTTGTGCATTGAATTCTGTCTTTATGGTACGCCGAATGCAATCCTCTCCTATTGGGCAATCCTTGTACTAGAATCCTAGTCAATAACAAGATTAATTTTTTAAATAAAAATTTAGATAATACTGGTAAGTAAAGAATCTCGTACCGGTGCAGTCCTAAAAATATTTGTTTTTATTTGCTCGTCTTGAGATTGAAAATTTGGTGCATCAAGATTTGCAAATCTCCGTATTGCGCATCGTACCGAACAACAAAAAAAATTGAGTATTCGGGCCAGCTATAGTCCTAGAAATTTCATCAAACTCGAGAGATAAACTTGTTTGCCGAATTTTCTTATGCTGCCAACCTGCCATTGAAATATAATACAAAAACATTATATTTAAAGAAGATTCAGTAGAATTAAATTTGTAACATGTCGGCGTATATCTATTTAACAAAAAAAATAGTAAAAAATTTGACCTGAATGAGCACCACTATTAGCTCCTTGTGCGGCCATCTATATTACAAAAAGCAAGCCATTTAAATTTAGAAACTATTAAAAAAAAAAGGTAAACTCGTTATGACATTAAAGTGAATAATCATTCACACAAAAAAAAAAAAAATTTATGAGAACCCTCAAACATGACTTGAAGATGAAATTTTATTAATCATATACCAAAAGAATTTTTCCTGGCAAAAAGGCTAGTACAAGTGCAATTGATAACGTACCACCATCTATTTGGCCACAAACATTGAAACCAAATTCAATAACCACAATTAATAAAATTTTGGTAACCATACATGCAACATTTCCTTTAAAGCCTGTGGGGATATCTTTGGTTCAATGAAACTCAGATCTTCCTCCTCGTCTTCTTCTTCTCCAAGAAGTTCATTCAAATCAAAATTTCGATCAGCAGGTAGGTTTAAATCAAAGTTAAGTGGTTTCTTCTTTTTTTCCTCATTAAGAAGCTTTTCGGTTTGATGTTTTGTCATCTCCTTTTCAGCATTCATCTTCTAATTTGACAAAATCTGAAATTGGATTATATTTACTCAGTATTGCAACTTTATAAGACTCACAACTTTATAATCCCCATGTCTCATAAAACTAGAATATTATCACATTAATTCTTTTATCAACACTAAACCGACCCATTATGCATGAGCAA